CAGACACAGGTACATATAGACACAGACACAGGTACATATAGACACAGGTACATATAGACACAGACACAGGTACATATAGACACAGGTACATATAGACACAGACACAGGTACATATAGACACAGACACAGGTACATATAGACACAGACACAGGTACATATAGACACAGACACAGGTACATATAGACACAGACACAGGTACATATAGACACAGACACAGGTACATATAGACACAGGTACATATAGACACAGACACAGGTACATATGAAGTGCCTTAACTTCTCTTTTAATGTTTTTATTGTTTTTAATGTATTTATTGTCTCGTTTTTAACTTTTGCATCCTATAATTCTTACTTGTGTATGTATTGCTGTATGATTGCGAGCAAGGGACGAGTGCACAATTTCCTTCGGGATCAATAAAGTATATATCTATCTATCTATATAGACACAGGTACATACAGACACAGACACAGACACATACAGACACAGGTACATATAGACACAGACACAGGTACATATAGACACAGGTACATATAGACACAGACACAGGTACATATAGACACAGACACATATAGACACAGACACAGGTACATATAGACACAGCCACAGGTACATACAGACACAGGTACATATAGACACAGACACAGGTACATATAGACACAGACACAGGTACATATAGACACAGGTACATATAGACACAGACACAGGTACATATAGACACAGGTACATATAGACACAGGTACATAGACATATAGACACAGACACAGGTACATATAGACACAGACACAGGTACATATAGACACAGACACAGGTACATATAGACACAGACACAGGTACATATAGACACAGGTACATATAGACACATACACATATAGACACAGGTACATATAGACACAGGTACATATAGACACAGGTACATATAGACACAGGTACATATAGACACAGACACAGGTACATATAGACACAGGTACATATAGACACAGACACAGGTACATATAGACACAGGTACATATAGACACAGACACAGGTACATATAGACACAGGTACAGGTACATACAGACACAGGTACATATAGACACAGGTACATATAGACACAGACACAGGTACATATAGACACAGACACAGGTACATATAGACACAGACACAGGTACATATAGACACAGACACAGGTACATATAGACACAGACACAGGTACATATAGACACAGGTACATATAGACACAGACACAGGTACATATAGACACAGGTACATATAGACACAGGTACATATAGACACAGGTACATAGACATATAGACACAGACACAGGTACATATAGACACAGACACAGGTACATATAGACACAGACACAGGTACATATAGACACAGACACAGGTACATATAGACACAGGTACATATAGACACAGGTACATATAGACACAGACACAGGTACATATAGACACAGACACAGGTACATATAGACACAGGTACATATAGACACAGACACAGGTACATATAGACACAGGTACATATAGACACAGACACAGGTACATATAGACACAGGTACATATAGACACAGACACAGGTACATATAGACACAGGTACGTCACGGTGGGTTCGAATCCCGGTTGGATCAGGGCCTTTCTGAGTGGAGTTTGCATGTTCTCCCCGTGTCTGCGTAGGTTTCCTCCGGGTACTCCGGTTTCCCCTACCACTAAAAATATGTACAATAGTTCTGGCATGTGCCTCCTGTACTGGCCCTGCTCCCATCTCTGTGTGGAGTGAGAGACAAATGCCCAAAATTAACAATTGTAAACCGCTTTGAGACTCAGATCTGCAGTGAAAAGGCGGTATATAAATAAAAACTTACTAACTTACTAGGTACATATAGACACAGACACAGGTACATATAGACACAGGTACATATAGACACAGACACAGGTACATATAGACACAGGTACATATAGACACAGACACAGGTACATATAGACACAGGTACATATAGACACAGGTACATATAGACACAGACACAGGTACATATAGACACAGGTACATATAGACACAGACACAGGTACATATAGACACAGGTACATATAGACACAGACACAGGTACATATAGACACAGGTACATATAGACACAGGTACATATAGACACAGACACAGGTACATATAGACACAGGTACATATAGACACAGACACAGGTACATATAGACACAGGTACATATAGACACAGACACAGGTACATATAGACACAGGTACATACAGACACAGGTACATATAGACACAGGTACATATAGACACAGGTACATATAGACACAGACACAGGTACATATAGACACAGGTACATATAGACACAGACACAGGTACATATAGACACAGGTACATATAGACACAGGTACATATAGACACAGACACAGGTACATACAGACACAGACACAGGTACACACAGACACAGGTACATATAGACACAGGTACATATAGACACAGACACAGGTACATATAGACACAGACACAGGTACATACAGACACAGACACAGGTACATACAGACACAGGTACATATAGACACAGACACAGACACAGGTACACACAGACACAGGTACATATAGACACAGGTACATATAGACACAGGTACATATAGACACAGACACAGGTACATATAGACACAGACACAGGTACATATAGACACAGACACAGGTACATACAGACACAGGTACATATAGACACAGACACAGGTACATACAGACACAGGTACATATAGACACAGACACAGGTACATATAGACACAGGTACATATAGACACAGGTACATATAGACACAGACACAGGTACATATAGACACAGGTACATATAGACACAGACACAGGTACATATAGACACAGGTACATATAGACACAGACACAGGTACATATAGACACAGGTACATATAGACACAGGTACATATAGACACAGGTACATATAGACACAGGTACATATAGACACAGGTACATATAGACACAGGTACATATAGACACAGGTACATATAGACACAGGTACATATAGACACAGGTACATATAGACACAGACACAGGTACATACAGACACAGACACAGGTACATACAGACACAGGTACATATAGACACAGACACAGGTACATATAGACACAGACACAGGTACATATAGACACAGACACAGGTACATATAGACACAGACACAGGTACATATAGACACAGACACAGGTACATACAGACACAGGTACATATAGACACAGACACAGGTACATATAGACACAGGTACATATAGACACAGGTACATATAGACACAGGTACATATAGACACAGACACAGGTACATATAGACACAGACACAGGTACATATAGACACAGACACAGGTACATACAGACACAGACACAGGTACATACAGACACAGACACAGGTACATACAGACACAGACACAGGTACATACAGACACAGGTACATATAGACACAGACACAGGTACATATAGACACAGACACAGGTACATATAGACACAGGTACATATAGACACAGACACAGGTACATATAGACACAGACACAGGTACATACAGACACAGACACAGGTACATACAGACACAGGTACATACAGACACAGACACAGGTACATATAGACACAGGTACATATAGACACAGGTACATATAGACACAGGTACATATAGACACAGGTACATATAGACACAGGTACATATAGACACAGGTACATATAGACACAGACACAGGTACATATAGACACAGACACAGGTACATATAGACACAGACACAGGTACATATAGACACAGACACAGGTACATACAGACACAGACACAGGTACATATAGACACAGACACAGGTACATACAGACACAGACACAGGTACATACAGACACAGGTACATAGACTCAGGTACATATAGACACAGACACAGGTACATATAGACACAGGTACATATAGACACAGACACATAGACACAGACACAGGTACATATAGACACAGACACAGGTACATACAGACACAGGTACATACAGACACAGACACAGGTACATACAGACACAGACACAGGTACATACAGACACAGACACAGGTACATACAGACACAGACACAGGTACATACAGACACAGGTACATAGACTCAGGTACATATAGACACAGGTACATATAGACACAGGTACATATAGACACAGACACATAGACACAGACACAGGTACATATAGACACAGACACAGGTACATATAGACACAGGTACATATAGACACAGACACAGGTACATATAGACACAGACACAGGTACATATAGACACAGACACAGGTACATATAGACACAGGACACAGGTACATATAGACACAGACACAGGTACATACAGACACAGGTACATATAGACACAGACACAGGTACATACAGACACAGACACAGGTACATACAGACACAGACACAGGTACATACAGACACAGGTACATACAGACACAGGTACATATAGACACAGACACAGGTACATACAGACACAGACACAGGTACATACAGACACAGGTACATATAGACACAGGTACATACAGACACAGGTACATACAGACACAGGTACATATAGACACAGGTACATATAGACACAGACACAGGTACATACAGACACAGACACAGGTACATACAGACACAGGTACATATAGACACAGACACAGGTACATATAGACACAGACACAGGTACATATAGACACAGACACAGGTACATACAGACACAGACACAGGTACATACAGACACAGACACAGGTACATATAGACACAGACACAGGTACATACAGACACAGGTACATATAGACACAGGTACATACAGACACAGACACAGGTACATATAGACACAGACACACAGGTACATATAGACACAGGTACATATAGACACAGACACACAGGTACATATAGACACAGGTACATATAGACACAGACACAGGTACATATAGACACAGGTACATATAGACACAGACACAGGTACATATAACACAAGACAAGGAACTTAAAGACACAGACACAGGAACTAATAGACACAGACACATGGTAAGGGGGGGGGGGGGGGGAAAGGGGGGGGGGGGGGGGGGGGGTGGGGAAAAGGTGGGGGGGGGGGGGGGGGGGGGGGGGGGGGGGGGGGGGGGGGGGGGGGGGGGGGGGGGGGGGGGGGGGGGGGGGGGGGGGGAGGGGGGGGGGGGGGGGGGGGGGGGGGGGGGGGGGGGGGGGGTTTTTTGGTTTTTTGGGGATGGGGGGGGGTGGGGGGGGGGTGTGGGGGGGGGGGGGGGGGGGGGGGGGTGGTGGGGGGTGGGGGGGTGGGAGTGGGGGGGGGGGTGGGGGGGGGGGTGTGGGGGGGGGGGGGGGGGGGGGGTGGGGGGGGGGGGGTGGGGGGGGTGGGGGGGGGTGTTGTGGGGGGGGGGGGGGGGGGGGGGGGGGTGGGGGGGGGGGGGGGGGTGTGGTTGGGGGGGGGGGGGGGGGGGGGGGGGTGGGGGGGGGGGGGGGTGGGGGGGGGGGGTGTGGGTGGGGGTGGTGTGGGGTGGGGGGTGGTGTTGTGGGGTTGGGGGGGGGGGTGTGGGGTGTTGGGGGTGGGTGGGTGGGGTTTTGGGTTTATGGGGTGTGTGGGTTTTGTTTGTGTGTATTGGGGTGGTTTATTTGGGATGTTGTTGTGGGGTTTGTGTTGGTGTATGGGTATGTGGTATATGGTATGGTTGTAGTTGTATATTATGTATATGGTAATGTGTGTTAAATATGGGTTGTAGTGTTGTATTATATGGGGTATGTGTGTATATGAGGGGTAATTGTGTGTATGTAGTGGTATATAGGGGTATGTGATTGTATATGGGGAATGTTTGGTATTATGGGTATGTGTGTATAATGGGTATGTGTGTATATATGGGTATGTATGTATAGTATATGGGTATGTGAGTATATGGTGTATGTATGGTGTATATGGGTATGTTGGTATATGGGTATGTTGTGTATATGTATGGGTTATGTGTGTATATGGGTAATGGTGGACACAGTACGGGTACTGTCTACAGACGGCATGTTCTATATATGGTTACCTGACACAGTATCATATGGTGTTACACATGTGTGCATAGATGGGTCCGTGTTACACATGGGTATGCGATATAGACTCGGTGTACTTTTAGAACACATGGTACAGTTTAGACACCATGTACACAGGTACATACAGGGTACACAGTGTTACATACAGAGGCACAGTTTGTCAATATAGACCAGGTACATACTGACACAACACAGTGTTCATATTGACACTGTCACAGGTACATACAGACACAGGTACTTATAGACACAGACACAGGTACATACAGAACAGGTAATAATAGACACAGTACATATAGACCAGTACATATAGACACACATAAAAATGGTGATGAGATTGAATAAATCCGTGTGCAGCTCTGAACTCTCTGACCCGGCAAGGATTTGCCTCTGTGGACGGTGGTTGAGGGCGCGCAATTCGGTTTAATTGATGAATATATATTGCCTGCTTTGACGTCAATGTTTATATTGTCCCTCTCAGGCGATGTGTTTTTCTCCTGCTGTGTCTTTCTCACCATCGTATCGCAATTCTCTGCCAAGCCATATATAACAAGGTCCCCCAATCTAAACAACCTCACATTCTCAGTCTCCAGCTAGGAACCCGCTCCCACCGCTCCCTTACTATCCATCTTCTCCTTCCTCCTCACTCCTCATTGTCTTTTCCGGCTCACCCCTCCTGATCCTGCTCCTCTGACAGCACATTGTGCGGCAGTCGGAGGGCCGCATCATCCGAGAAAAAAAATCGTGGTTTCTATACAAAGCACAATGTGTTATCCAGTGCCGTGCGTGCATGCTATGGGTTTACGTTCAGATTTAGACTATTATAGGTTGCTCTCTCCGCTGTCACTTTCCCTCAAAATGTGACATTCACCTCGTCAGATGTATCTCATTCAATGTTTGAGCACTGTCAGGGCTTTACGTGTACTTTCAGCTTATTCATTTTGTACTCTTCAATTCAAAACCATTCTCTCTCTCAAATAAAAAAAAAAAAAAACTCAGTCTCGTTAGAGTCTAATGACAACATATTGGAGAAATTTTAATAAGGGCGAAAAAACCGGGACAGGTTTACTATGACACCAGTCGCCTGGCCATGTATCCCTTGGGGCAGCGAAAGGCTGTGGTTTAGAAAGCTAAAATGCGTGTAAACTTGTTTTCTTTACTTTTTCACAAAACCAAAACACACAAAATATAAACAACAAGTACCCAGTAAAAGTCATGACAATTTCAACTTCTGGCGTTTTGTTTTGAATACAATAATTAGGATATTAAAAAGTGAGTGACGGTCAGTTGACGCTAGGGGGCTCTAGTGTAATGGCGAGGTGGCACTCTAGCTGCCCAAAACATTTCAAGGTGGTACTTCTGTTTGTTTACTTACATGGCAATAAAACTAGAAACTTGCAATGGCTGAGCCATTGCGATTTGGACTGCGGAACAGATTACAGTGGGAAATCTGCATAAAAAAAATCCTTGAAATCCTTTAAAGGTTGAAATGTTAAAATATTGTAGAATATTTGAAATCCTTGAAGTCTTGAAATTGTTTGAAACCTTTAACTCTGAATCCTTGAAACTGTTTGAAACAGTGAAACTCCTGAAATCTTGAAACTTTTTTTAACCTGGAAAAAGTTGAAAGTGTGGAAACTCCTGAAATCCTTGAACCTCTGATATCCTTGAAACTGGTTAAATTCTTAAACAGTAGAAAATCTTGAAACATTGTATGTAATGAAAGTGTCTTGAAACTGAATAAATCCACAGCTTGACACAATTTGGTTCCTGTAAAATAAGGGAAACTGGGTCTGTGGTCATGATTGGTGGTGGTTGAGTCTTGTTTGGGTCTTGGTTTGGTGGTCTAATGCAACTATTGGTTGCATTATACCACAGACCAAGGACCCCAAACGAAGACTCGACCACACAGATAAAGAACACAGACAGGTTTCCTTGTACAGGATAAATTTGTTTCAGCGGTGAGGGGATTTTCAGTTTCATGGGAATTTCAATACATCAGTAGTTTAAGATTTCAACTGTTTCCAGAATGTAACACCAGTTTCAAGGATATCAGGAGGTTCAAGGAATTTCAGGAGTTTCCCACTTTCAACAGTCTTCCAGTTTAAAAATGTTTCAGGATTTCAGGAGAGTTTCAATGTTTCAACAGTTTCAAGGATTTCAGGGTTAAAGGTTATTTCAACAATTCAAGGACTTCAGGCGGTTTCAAATATCTATTCAAGTTATTTTAACAGTACGGCCTTTTAAAGGTTTCAAGGATTTTTTTTTAGCAGATGTTCAACATCTAGATCTGTTCGCAGTCAAACGCATGGCTTCAGCCTTGCAAGTTTCTAGTTTTTATCCATGTATAGTAACACACAAAGTTTCACTTGGAAATTTGTTTTGGCAGATAGCGTGCCACTTCGCCATTAATAGGGAGCGCCCCTAGCGGTCAACGGACGTCACTCACTTTTCTATGCTAATTAGTGTATTCGAAAACAAAACGCCAGAAGTTGAAATCTTCATGACTTTTAATGGGTACTTGGTTTATATTTTGGTGGGTTTTGGTTTTTGGATAAAAGTAATGAAAACAAGATTTACACGCATTTTAGTTTTCTAAAACACAGGCCCTTTGCTGCCCCATAGGGATACATGGCGCAGGTGGCGATGTTGTTCATAGTAACCTTTCCGGGGTTTTTTCGGCTATTAAAATGTATCACTTATGTTGTCATGAGAAACTAAGAGACTTGGTTTTTTTTTTTTTTTCATTTGAGAGAGCGAAAGAGTTTTGCGAATTGGAGGTACAAATGATGAGAGATGAAAGTACACGGTTGAAGCCCTGACAGTGCTTCAAGACATTGAATGAGAACGTTGACGGAGGTGAGGAAGTCACATTTTTGGACGGGTGGAAGTGACAGCGGAGAGAGCACCTATAATATTCTAAATCTGACGTAAACCATAGTGATTTCACGCACGGCCAGCTGGATAGACACATTTGTGCTTTGTATAAAACCAGGATTTTTTTTTCTCGGGGATGAGCACCTTCCGACTGGCCGGCTCCAATGTGGCTGTCAGAGGGAGGAGGATAGGGAGGGGGGAAGCGGGAAAGACAATGGGTAGTGGAGGGGAGGGAAGGAGAAGTGGATAGGTAGAGGGAGGCGGGGGGAGCGGGATTCGAGATGGGATGAGAAGTGTGAGGTTGTTGTAGAATGGGGGACCTTGTTTATTGGCTTGGCAGGAGGGAATTTGAGACTCGAGTGGAGAGAAGATCAGCAGGAGAAAAACACACGCGCTGGAGAGGACAATATTATATGCAATTGAGGCGGTCAAAAAGCAGGAGATATATTATTCAATCCAATTAAACCGAATTGCGGCGCTCAGACCTACGTACACAGAGGCAAATTCTTGCCGGGTCTGAGGTTCATTGCTGGCCACACGATGTTATTCAATCTCATTTCCAATGTTTTATGCCTTGATGTGGAAGAGTTGCGGAGGTCTTTTATCAACTGTTCCACTAAACAAAACTTCCTATGCTCCTGACGTGGGCTTCAGGTTTGTGCCGTTTGCGGTCTGAATTGCACCATTAAGCCTTGTTTCCTGAACAACATATAATATTCAGGTATCCTTCCTTGTTCTCTGAAATAACTTTTAATTTCTGTCCATAGCACTAAACTCCTGCGTTCCATTGAATGATTCTCATACTACTCTCTCACTCCCCTCCCACACCCATCTCTTCTCTCTCCAACCTTTTGTCCACCTGTTCCAGGAAAACTATCATACCCGAGGTTACTTTTCCGCTCCTTCACATAGTGTATTTTGATCTGTTTTATGCTTTGCCTGAATTCGCACAATTTATTGGACTATGCTAGAAAACACCATCAAATTATCCACGACACCATATTACCCTCAATCACACTCTGCGTCTTTCTCTGCATACTTGGTCTCCATTCGTCTGGGTTTTTGATTTTGAACTTTCCACACTGTTCTGATAATAGACATTATTCACAACTTCCTCTCAGAATCTCCACGCTTTTTTCCTCACGTACAACCTCATGGTTACATCTGTTGGCCCTCCACAGTTTCTACATTTAAACTCAAAACCCCGACTGTACTTTTCCAGGGAGACTTGCACTGTAATCTACAGTAAAAGCGATTAGCTCTCCACGATTCTGACTATCAATCGCCTCATCAATTCCACTCACAGCTCCACCTAAACAGTTTTACAAGTAGGGTCCCATTTCGTTTTTGTCGACTTCATTCACGCTTTCTTGATCACGCAGTGCGTGAAACTTATTAAATCTAGAGCCACTAGGTGGCAGGTTAAGTCCGCTTTAGGCTCTGCAGCGACTGAAACGCTCAGGGCATAGGGCGTGTTTGCGTTGGGGACCATGGGGACATGTCCCACCAATATTGGTGGAGGGACTAAAAAGTCCCCACCAAAAATGACATGATGTTTCCGTGACCGGATGAGGACCTTTTTCACGCCAGCCTTCTCGCATCTTCCGCCTTCACGGAGAAAGAACTTTCCGGTTCGGTAGCAATCAATGACAGGGATCATACTTTTCAGCACGAGTTGAAATATCTAATAATCTTCTGCTTTTTCAGAAATGTCCTTCGGGCTATTGTAGGGAGGCACTCGGGTATGTCAAATTATTGAATATTTCTCCCTAAACAGGTTTGGTTTGGGTCTTAGTAAAATTGGTGTTTGTCAAGTACAGGCTAAGTTAGCTATCCAGTTACTGCCGGCTGTTCTTTTGAACAAAACTTAGTTTTTAAAATAATAGTATTGCTTAATAAGTTCAAATACTAAAGGTGTAACTACATAGTATTATGTGTGTTTTTTCTTTATTATTTTTACTAGAATGGCATCCAGGAAATTTTGCTGTGTGCCTCTTTGTTCAGCTACAAGAGAACACATCCTTACATAAGTTTCCGCGTTCCCATGGTTGTTTGTAGACGTTGCAAATGGATTGGGCATTCGGGAGATGAGGGTCCAAAATTTTAGGTGGGAAAAATGCCGCCTGTGCTGTCTGCAGTTTACATTTTGGACCAGATGACCTATACACATCCAAAGGAGGCAATTGAGGAAGGTCCAGATTCTGTGCAT